ACTGACTTTCTCACTCTTCAAATGTTAGTATATTAGCAATCTGGCCTATCTGTGCATACTGCGTAGAGTGGAACTCATTAGACCAGCACTGTCCAGTGGAACTTTCTGTGAAGATGCAAGTATACATTGTCCAATATAGTAACCATTAGCCACATTTGGCTTTGAGACTTTGAAATTGGTCAGTTCAATTGAGGAACTGAATTTTTAATCTTAATTTTCATTGAAATTAAAATGTAAATAGCCACATGTACAACATAGAAAGTGGCCATAGATGATCTAGGACTCCCCAAACCAAAGCTTTTACTTATTCATAGGTACGAATGGTTTCTGTTTGTTTGTTGTTTTGAGACAGAGTGTCACTCTGTCGTCCAGGCTGGAGTGCAGTGGCATGATTTTGGCTCACTGCAACTTCCTCCATCTCCTGGGTTCAAGTGATTCTCTTACCTCAGCCTCCCGTGTAGCTGGAAGTACATACATGTGTGAGCCACCATGGCTGGCTAATTTTTGTATTTTTAGTAGAGACAGGGTTTTGTCATGTTGGCCAGGCTGGTCTCAAACTCCTGGCCTCAAGTGATCCACCTGCCTTGGTCTCCCGAACTGCTGGGATTACCGACATGAGCCACCGTGACCAGCCAGGCATGCATGTTTGAGCCTAAATTGCTCAGATTATTTTTCAGAAATAGAACCATGAACTATTATTATTGTTTTAAATATAATAAGACTTACCTTAAAGTTATGTTCCAAACTCTGGTCTAAGTGCTTTAAAAATATCAACTTGGATAATCCTACAGCCCTATAACATAGGTAGCAATATTAACCTTATTTTAGGGATGGGACTGAGAGTTTAATTAATTTGTTCGCGTAAGCGACGGAGCCAAGTTTCAAACCCAGGAAGACCTGGCTCTAGAGTCCTTAGTTGTAATTGGTATGCTATAGACTAAGTGTACTGTCCAATATGCTAGTCAATAACTGAATGTGACTACTCATGTTAATTAAAAGTGCAGTTCCCCAATTGCACTAGCTACATCTCAAATGGCCAATAATCACACCTAGTTAGTGGCTGTCCTATACAGTACAGATAGAGAACATTTCCATCTTCACAGAACTTTCACTGAACAGTGCTGCTCTGGAACACCACTGTCAGAGTGCACTAATATTAGTTTTGATTTTTTGCCTTCTGTGTGCCAGGTTCATATTTATTGTACCCCTATTATGTTTTGGGCAGTTTGTATGTTTGGGGCTATAGGGAGATCCAATGGACATGGTCTTGCTTCTGTGGACTTACAGTTAAATAGAGGAGACAGACATACAACCATGGCACTGCACAGCAGTGGGATAAGACTAATCTTTTGAACAAATGTTCCTGGAACAAGTGGGCATTCATATAGACAAAAAATGAAAATTGATCCCTATCTCACACCATATAAAAAATTAATTTCTGTTCTGTTAGAGATTTAAGTGGAAAAGGCAAAAATTTTTAAACTTCTGAAGAACAGTAAGAATATTTTCATGACTTCAGAATAAAGACTTCTTAGGACACAAATAGCACTAACCATAAGAATAAAGATGGTGTAATTTGGCTATGATTAAGAATTTCTGTCAGTCAAATAATGTTAGATCACAGGTTGTCCACTAGCTATGAAAGTGTTTTGTTTAGCCCTCAGAATGTTCTCAAAAATATATTTGAATTGGCTGGATGGAGTGACTCATGTCTGTAATCCTGGTACTTTGGGAGGCTGAGGCAGGAGGATCACTTGAGCTCACGAGGTTGAGACCAGCCTGGGCAACATGGCAAAACTCCATCTCTACAAAAAATATAATTAGCTGGACATGGTGGTGCATGCCTTTAGTTCCAACTCCTTAGGAGGCTGAGGTGGGAGGATCACTTGAGCCCAGGGAGGTCAAGGCTTTAGTGAGCCATGATGACACCATGGCACTCCAGTCAGAGCAGCAGTGAGACCCCATCTCAATATATATGTATATATATATATATATATGTATTTGAATTAATAGTCTACATTTAAAAATTAGGATATTTCAAATAAAATTCTGGGTTTTCAACTTTTTTTTGAAAAATAAAAAGCTTTGAAAATACTAGGCCAGTTTCTCATGGGAACAAGCAGGAGCTGCACCAACTTACTGCAGGAGGTGTGTTCTCTTCAGTCCACACCAGCCCCAACTAGTCCTGCTTTACAAAACTTGCCTAGGAACTAGACTTTATAGTAGTTGTATTCAACAAACAGAGAAATAAGGTAGTAACTGCCAAGTATACTAGATCAGGGAAGGTTCTGCAAGTGACATTTGAGCTGGGGCAAGCAGTGGTTCAGCAAACTCCATTTGTAAAGGCAAAGGGTAGGACCCAGATGTGGTCCCATATCCTACTTTGTGTAGTTCTTGCAATAGTCCTAAAGCTAATCATTAAGCACAAGGGGAAGGAAGAGTGAATTAAATAAGACTAAAAAATGTATATTAGCTTGGAACCATGACCTGGGAAAGATTTCCAATTGCAACACTATTAGGACAGGTACTTGTACCCAGTAAGCCAGGGACAATGGGAAAAGTAGCAGGCATGGGGTAAAAAGAACCCAGAGCTTCCTTTTTATGTTTGAAGACATAACTGCCATGAAAATAAGGAAAGCTGCAGAAATTAGACTAAATTAACAACTAGATCCACTGATAATGAGCTTTCTGAGGCACTGGTCCACAACAGCCCCACACTCTCACTGTGCTCAGTAGCTGCAATTTCTTCTTCACCTTACAAATGACCTGCTTTTTTCCTGATGCTGTATATTCTTTCAGAGCCAGACAATCTCATTTCTCTGTACCCTATAGATCTCTTCAAAGAGAGCTCTGAACACAAAGAAGATACATGGGGCGTGAATAATAATATGAATACAGTCTCCAACCCAATGTTGTTATGTGGCAAATGTTCAGTTTATAAGAGAATATCCCAAGGGCGAGGATTCTTGTTTAAGCATCATCACAGAAATAATGTTGGTAGTTCCTAATCTGATGTGTTTTGCATTTTTACCATAGGGGCCATATTCACCAAAAAAGAGAACACACTTTCCAGCACTTAAAAAAAAGAAGCATTGCATGGAAAACATCCTCCGAAAATCAGATTTGACAGTAGGAAAGCTTCAAATGCAGGTAGTGGACAAAGGCTTTTAACTTTTGTCTCAGAAGCATCAGAGCCAGACTTAACTGAACACACAGCCCTGGTAGACAGCATGGGTGTAGGATGAAATTAATGATTAGCATTAAGAAATAATGTTAGAAGGAGGACATTCTGAAAGTTGCTAAAGGATTGCTAAGGACACCTAGAACGATGCTATCTACCTGATAAATATTAAATGAATTCAATTAAAATGAAGGCATAGGTTTCTCTTCAGAAGAACTGAGGTTGTCTTTATCACTGGGTGGTTAATGTATGTTTTCAAGCTCCATTTGCTATGACTTGACTTAGAATAACATTTTAAGACTTGCAAAATGTCCACCAATTCCTAAACTCACCTCTCAGGAAAAGCAACTATCTCTTTGATTTTGACAAGGTTTTCCAACACATGGCTTCATTTCTTTGTATTTGTCATAGGTGGATGACCTCATAGAAACAGTGACTGATAAATCCAGGAAGCTATTGGCCCAAAGACATGCTGAGCTTCAACAGTGTGAGTTTCTAGGGGATGAAATTCTTCAGTCTTCTAAGCAGTTCCAGAGGATATCCAAGAGAACCATGAGGAAGTATAAATTAAAAAATGTGTGTTTCCCATGTACCTGTTGCTGCTTCTGACTTTGTCCCTGATTCTTAACAAGTTATCTTCCCTAGGCCGGTCGTGGTGGCTTACACCTGTAATCTCAGCACTTTGGGAGGCCTAGGCCAGGGGATCACTTGAGGTCAAGAGTTCAAAACCAGCCTGGCCAACATGCTAAAACTCCATCTCTACTAAAAAAACAAAAATTAGCCACATGTGTTGGCAGGTGACTGTAATCCCAGCTACTCCACAGGCTGATGCAGGAAAATTGCTTGAACCTGGGAGGTGGAGGTTGCAGTGAGCAGAGATCGTGCCATTGCACTCCAGCCTGGATGACACAGCAAGACCCTGTCTCAGAAAAGAAAAAAAAGAAAAATGTATTTTTAATTCTGGGTCAATATAGGCAAATTTTTGTTTCATAATTCTTACTAATAAAGGAAAACAGAAGCATTTGCCATAGCATAGCAATTCTACAAAGAAATTTCTCCCATGACTTGCCAGATAAAATTAGAGGAAGCATTTATAGGTATTATGACACTTTTAATATAACTACAACTGAGCTAATTTTAAACTTTCATTTTTAAAGACAAAAATTCTTATTAAAATTACAAAAATGTAACATCATTAAGGCATGATTCATGCAAAGTGTCATGTTCCTAACTAAAATAAATGAGTAAGGATGGAGCCGAACAAGTATTACACATGTAATTCAATACTTAAGAAAATTACAAGTGATTCAGCCTTAGCTTAACTTAAAAAAAATTATAAATTCTTTATGTAAGACAATCATTTTTTTTTTTGTTTGAGATGGAGTTTTGCTCTTGTTGCCCAGGCTAGAGTGCAATGGCGTGATCTTAACTCACCACAACCTCCACCTCCTGGGTTCAAGCAATTCTCCTGCCTCAGACTCCTGAGTAGCTGGGATTACAAGCATGCGCCACCATATCCGGCTAATTTTGTATTTTTCTTTTTAGTAGAGACGGGGTTTCTCCATACTGGTCAGGCTGGTCTTGAACTCCTGACCTCAGGTGACCAACCCCACCTCGGCCTCCCAAAGTGCTGGGATTACAGGTGTGAGCCACCACAGCCGGCCTATGTAAGACAATCTTAACAAACTATTTACTTCAAACAACCCTTCATTTTACCAATATATTCTTTTCTATTGAAAATGATTACTAAAGAACAAAACAATAGAGAAAACAGATCAACAAAACAAGAATCATATTATTCACATATTAAGAAGAGAGATATAGAAAGCAAGGCATATTATTTTACTTTGCATCTTATAATTACCTCTCATGCCAGTGACTTTTAACAGCATGAAACCTTTCCCCATAATAAGCATATGCCACAAACATTTTGCATGTAATTTCACAGGTTCATGGCCCTCCTAAAGCCTCTTCATAGACTCTGTTTTCAGAAGTGTGATTATTTCTAGAAATTGGCCCATTTTCCCATGTACATCCTAGAAATGCCAACTTCTAACAATCTTCAACTTATTTTGTAAACCAATCAATGTAACCAGTTAAAAACTACCTAGAATATTAACGAGCACAAACATATCCAGCTTAAAAGCATTTTATTAAGCATATTTCGATGTTGCTTCCTACCTTTTAAGAATAAAAAATGCCTTTTAATAAAAAAATCTATACTAAAGTCATTTTCCTTTGTGTAAGGAAATATGAATGAAATGTACATTCATATTTCAAAACAGCATATGGTACTGCCAAAACTTTAAATATCTCAAGAGCACACCACATTTTAAACACATTATGTTCATGCAGCTATTTCAATATTCCTGGGAATGGTGGGCAATTAGCCTATCTATGGCTTAGGATCTGTTTCCATGCTTGCGTCCTGAGCTTCTTCTACCTCTGAGAGTTTTTCATCATCTGTAATTGAGAAGGAAACATAAAAGCTTAGTCGAGTTTGCCTACATTTTATATTTAATGAACATATGAAAACATGTTTATCCTTTATTAACCAATACAATTAAAGCAAAGATGGCTACTAATTGAATCAAACTGTAAAATTTATGTGATAGATTTCACTTAAAAAAAAAATCTAGGCAGGTGTGGTGGCTCAAGCCTGTAATCCCAGCACTTTGGGAGGCCAAGGCAGGTGGATGACCTGAAGTCAGGAGGTTGAGACCAGCCTGGCCAACATGGTAAAACCCCATCTCTACTAAAAAAACAAAAATTAGCTGGCTATGATGGCATGTGCCTATAATTCCAGCTACTCGGGAGGCTGAGGCATGAGAATCACTTGAACCCGCGAGGTTGGGATTGCAGTGAGCCAAGACTGCACCACTGTACTCCAGCCTGGATGACAGAGCACGATTGCCTTAAAAAAAAAAAAAAAAAAAAAATGGGTCTTAGGCTGTTCTTGAAAAACAATCAGAAGGTCAGGTAACATAGAATTTCCAGCTGTCTACAGGGATATAAAGAGCAAGTCTCCAGTTCCCTAAAGCACCCAGCACTCAGTGGGTATGCAAATATTCTTAGGTACTGATTGCTTATTATTGCCTGCCTGGGTCCTGAGTTGTTACCTTATAGTAATCTACTACAGTGAACCAAGAAAAACTCCAAATCTATCATCCTTCAATTTTTCTTAATTTAAACCACTAGATATATCTTTAAATCCTGTATTAGTACAAATTAAGACTTTTCTATACATATTCAAGAAAGTTGAACATGAGTATCTTCTAATGTCATCCAGCTATACTGTTAAGAAATTGAAGGCATATTCTCTCTCCAAGATACATATTTCAAAAGGAACATCCCTGACTCATTTAAAAAATCTTCATAAACATTTATTTTGAGACTATTTCTACTTACTTTCCAATGTTTGCTGAAGTTCATGGATGGTACTAAGAAGAACATGAAACTGTTTCCGTCTCAATTCCAGCTGTGTTAACAAGAAAAAAATTTATACAAATGATGATCTATATATATATAGATATATATGATGATCTATTTATAGATAGACAGATAAATCACAAAGGCTAAATATCTATGCAAATACCTTATCTTCGACACTTTCTTTAATATGTGAAAGATGCTCTAATTCTTTTCCCAGAGCTTCTAGTTCCCTGGAAATAATAAAACAGTGTTACATTTTGCTGAATGGGGCAAAAAATTTACAATTAATAACTAACTTATTAGTTACTAGATAGAATTTTTAAAATAAAATTGAAAAAAAAACTTATAAGGAGTTATAACACTCCATTATGGTGAGACTTTTAAAAATGATTTCTTCTTAACTTTTAAATATGGACTTACTTTAATTAAAATTACACTTTCTGATAAATTTTTAAAGTACAGAAAAATACAGATAATAGAATAACAAGACCCAAGAAATGATACATATTGTAGAGCTTAACTTCAAGGGTCTTTTTTTTGTAAAAGAAATAAAACATTGCCAATTAACTTGAAATACCCTTTGAACCTTACCCCTAGTCCTCTATCCTGGGCCTTTTTATCTCCTCTACCTCCCACTCAGGCAACCACTATATCATTCTAATCCATTTTTACACATATACCTGTATCACTGAATAATATACAGTATTGGTATATAATATTTGAAAGGGGGTTCTAACTTTTATAAATTGTTATTATTCTATATGTGTTTCAGAAATTTAATAATAATTTTAAATTTATTATGTTTTTTCACTGATTATGTTTTGAGGAGTGTGTTTGAACAGTACAAAACTAGTTTATTCTTTTTTTTTTTTTTGAGACGGAGTTTCGCTCTTGTTACCCAGGCTGGAGTGCAATGGCGTGATCTCAGCTCACCGCAACCTCCGCCTCTTGGGTTCAGGCAATTCTCCCATCTCAGCCTCCCAAGTAGCTGGGATTACAGGCACGCGCCACTGTGCCCAGCTAATTTTTTTGTATTTTTAGTAGAGACGGGGTTTCACCATGTTGACCAGGATGGTCTCGATTTCTCGACCTCATGATTCCCCCGCCTCAGCCTCCCAAAATGCTGGTATCACAGGCGTGAGCCACCGCGCCCGGCCTAGTTTATTCTTTTTAACTGATATTTAATATTTTAATATATGAAGACCACATTTTATTTGTCCACTCTATTTGTCCATATTACATGCATTTATTTTAGACATATAGGTGGTAAGGTCAGAGGAAAATAAAATCTAACAGAGAAGTATTGGGAAATATAATATCGAAGACCTGAACCCTCCTTTTGAAACATATTTATTTCTGCAAAAATGAAATGCCTAGGGTAGTGTATCAGCATTTATGTATAAAGGTTAGTTCCTTTCAAAGTAAAGCTCTACACTTACTTTAATGTCTCATGCCTGTCTGGATGATGCTGGATCACTTTTGCCAAAGCATCATATTCTGAAAGACATAAAAATGTTTATCAAACTAAGGGCTTATCAAAACAAAATGTGTAATATCACAAGCCTCTCCTAACCACTTCCCTAGTACATCAAGAAATGAAATCATTGAAAGATGAGTATTGCCAGTTCTAGTTGACTGAGTTATAACTATAATGACACATAACATCAAAAGTGTTCTAAACAGGGATTTTAGCTCCCTAAACTTCAGCACTTTTTTTCCATTTATATGTTCTGGACAGAACATAAGAGGTCAGCATAAAAATAAGTGAACTTAAGTTATTACTGATTATCAAATAGACTGATTCTGAGAAGGATCTTACTCACTAGTTGTCCAAAAAAAAAAAGAAGAAAATCAGTGAATATATCCATCCATTAATTTGAGATGTTAGTCAACAGCAAATTACACTTCTCACTCATTCTAAAAGTTAAGATTTCAGAAACTTACAAATAACTTAAAATTCAAGTTCTACTTTCTGCTCCACTGAGACCTCCAAGATAAGTCATGTAACTCCTGTTAACCTTTCTTCTGAAGTGATGAATGACAAGATTTACTTAAAAGTCTCATTAACTAACAAAAACACTGCAAAATATTTTTAAATGACTTTAGAACTGATACTAAGTTGGTATATCTTACTGTAAATAGGGCACTAAAACTTCACCACACACATTTTAGACTGAAAAAATAAACTTTTAAAAAGAGGAAATTAATCTTCATCTTAACTAGTTAATTAAAAAGTACAATTCATTGTTTTAGAACTGATGCTATTAATTCAATAAAAGTATGATTTTTTTAAATACAATTTTTTTGAATTACAAAAGAATACATGTCCTGTGTAAAATAAAACAAAACAAAACCAGAGAAAACCTAAGCCATAAAAACCCACCACTTCAAAATAACCACTAACATTTTCTATTTTCTTCTAGTTTTTCCTATCAGTGTAACAGTTGTGATTATAAATTATGATTTTTATTTTTGCTTTTCTTCAATTTATATTATAGGAGTAGTGCCTCTAACATTAAAAATTATCTGGAAACAGCATTTAGGAACTACATAAGAACATACTCTAACTTAACAAGAGATTATAACAAAACTCAACTTTAACTTTCTTATTAGATATTCTAGATAGTCTATAAATATTTGCTTGCTTCATAGTTAATGAAAACTCACAGAGTTTAAATTCTTTTTCATTCATTTTTTGGAAAGTAGCTCTATTAAGCAAACAAACAAAAAAACCCAAATCATATATCTAGTGTATTTATGTAAATTGCCTCTGCTGATTAACTATTACATTATTTAGGCAAAAAGCTCCAAGATGGTAAAAATTTAATGCTTAAGAAATACTGGGAAAAGAAAAAAACAAAAGGAGAAAAACAGAAAAGAAATACTTGGATAATCAGTGTAATCCAGCAAAAACATTTTTTTCAACACAGACTTCTTTCTCTATTTTAAAGAATAACATAGTTTTAAAGAATTAAATTTGGATAATTTTTAAAAATCCAGGTTGATTCAGGCTGCTGAAGATTTTTCCTCACAACATTAAAAATTGCATGAAAATAGTAGTCAGTAATAAAGTATTTGCATATTAAATCCCTCAAAACTCTTACCTTGGCGATTTTTTCGTATTCGTTTTGCTTGAAGAATTTGCTTTTTGCACTCAGCAATTTTTTCATGTGCTCCAGCAATGCTACATTCTATATAAGAAGGTTTTAAAACTTAGTTGTAACAATATCAATAATCCATGTTCAATTTTAAAATGCATTTATAAATTAAATTCTATTGCTAACAAAATAGACACTAGTATTAAAGTACCATATATTAGAATGCATATTTTTGTAGCTAACATTTGCTGTATTCTTTCTATTAATACTGTAATTATTATTCTTTTACCACCAACCAAAGAAAATTGTTAGCAGATATTGTTTCCTTTATACCATACAAAATAAAATTACAGATAGAAACATTAATATTCTTTACCTATTTCCTTGTAAATTTTTTCATAATTTTCCATTTCTCTGAGATTCATATCATATACTAGTAAAGTTTTGCCCATTGAAAATTCACATTGAGACAGTGTGCTCAGCATACGCTGGTACTGGCTATATCTAATGAGAAAGAGAGAAAACCAAAATAAAGATGTTTGTAGACTGACAAAACTGAACTATTATAATGCAGGCAAATATTTGCTAATTAAATAAGTTCTTTGAGAGTCATTTGCTTATTTAAAATAATTCAGAATATCTGTTCCTTAAGTTTTCTTTTTATCAAATGTAGCACACCTGAATTTATAAACTAGTTACACATGCAAAGATGAGACTGTTGTTCTTATCAGTGTATGCTTTATTCAAATAATTATTTGCATTTTGTTTAAAATACATTATGAATTTTTTATCTTCACAATTCTGTCTCCAGAATTTACTCTATAAAATTATTTATGTGAAAAGCAAAGTTTACTATATATATATATATATATATATATATATATATATATATACACACACACACACACACACACAAATACATACATACAGTTGGGCATGGTAGCTCATGCCTGTAATTCTGGCATTTTAGGAAGTCAAGGTGGGCAGATTACTTGAAGCCAGGAGTTCAACATCAGCCTGGCCAACATGGTGAAATCCCATCTCTACTAAAAATACAAAAATTAGTCAGGCATGGTGGTGCATGCCTATAATCCCAGCAACTCGGGAGGCTGAGGCACTTGTACTGCTTGAACCTGAGAGGCAGAGGTTGCAGTGAGCTGAGACTGCACAATGGCACTCCAGCCTCAGCAATAGAATGAGACTCTGCGTCAAAAAAAAAAAAGATTTTGTGTGTGTGTGTGTGTATGTATCAAGTTGGTGCAAAACTTAAAGATATTGGCAAAAACCATGATTACTTTTGTGCCAACTTACTACATACATATACTTATTAAACACTTATATCCTAATGGGTCTGAATTTAATCTTCATTTCTCCTTACCAATCTGCCTTCTCTATGTTTATTAAACATATGGGAGGCCTCTGAAGAAAAGAAAAGGCCAAGAAAATCTACTCTTAATTAAGAGTTGACTCCACTGGACATTTAAGGTGAATAAAAATTTGATCTATTCACAGGACCTTAATGTATGGTCTAAAATCACATTAGGACATGGGTATAGAAACAACAGTGAAATAAAATACCCTTCTTCCTGGGACCCAGAGTTGCACCATTTAATGAAACTCTTCACTAGCAGATTAATTCTCCGATCATCTCCAGCACCATCTCCATCAATGAGGAGACGCTTCCGTATGACTTCGTCTGCAGGAAAGAAGAGCAATGCTACCATCTGGCTCTTGGTAACTTTCAAATACAAATAACCAATATCACTGTTCAATTGTTTATTCAAAAGAAAATTATTGAAATGCAAATGTATTTAATGCCACTGAACTGTACACTTAAAAATGGCTAGCTAAAATGGTAAATTTTATGTTATGCATGTTTTATATTGCATATAATAAAAATATTTATATAGTAATGGAAAAAAACGTTATTGCATGACTACCGTGTGTCAGGTACTGTTCTAGGGGCTGAAATAATAGCAGTGAAAAGACATCCTTACAGAGTTGGCAGTCTACTGGGTTGTTGAGTGGAAATAATTTTCAGATACAATCAAGGAAATAAGCCAATAATTCTTAGAAAACTTTTGTGAAACAATTTGCCCAGACAGACAGAAATCCAAATATTTATGTCTCTGGCCAGTGAAAGGCACTGATAAAATGAATAGACAAGAAATATTTAAAAGATGTAGTGGCAAACTAGGAAAAAAGAATAGGTCAGGGAAAAAGGAATGAATTTGTTAAATAAACATATAATTTAAGGCTGGGTGTGGTGGCTCATGCCTGTAACCTCAACAGTTTGGGAGGCTGAGGTAGGAGTATCACTTGAGCCAAGGAGTTCCAGACCAGCCTTAGCAACACAGTAAGACTCTGACTCTACAAAAAACAAAAATCAGCTGGATGTGGTGGCACGTGCCTATTAGGCCCAGTAACTTGGGAGGTTGAGGAAGGAGGATCACTTGAGCCTAGGAGATCAAGGCTGCAGTGAGGCATGATCTCACCACTGCACTCCAGCGCCTATAGGCAACAAAGCAAGATGCTGTTTCCAAAACAAATACTATATATATCATATATTATAAATATATAAACATATTATATATTTATATTATAATTTACAAATATTTATATTATTTTATATATAACATATATTATTTACTATATAATACATTATTTATATAATATATTATTTATACAAATATAAATATGTATAATATAATGCATATTATATATAATACATACATATTATATACATGTATTATATATATACATATTATATACATATGTATGTATTACATATATATTTAGTTATCTGTAAGGTTTCTTTCCCCATGAGAATTTTTTTTAAACAATACTTTTGCCCCAAGGAAAAGAAAAAAAAAAAAGCAGTGTAGATGACAATGATGACCAACAAGTGAGGTCCCAATCTATCTGCCTGGCAGTCCTGAGCTAGTGTTCTTACCCAGACGAAATAATCCTGGATCATAACAAGAGCAAGGCAAATTAAAACCACAGTAAAATATAATTTTTCACCTAATAGATAAGCAAAAATCAAAACATCTGATAAAACTGTTGGGAAAGGTGTTAGAAAACTGCACTTTTTTTTTTTAAAACAGTCTTACTCTGTCGCCCAGGGTAGAGTGGCTCAGGGTAGAGTGCAGTGGCACGATCTCAGCTCACTGCTACTACTACCTCTTGGGTTCAAGCAATTCTCCGGCCTCAGCCTCCCCAGTAGCTGGAACTACAGGCGCCTGACACCATGCCCAACTAAGTTTTGTATTTTTAGTAGAGATGGGGTTTTACCATATTGGCCAGGCTGGTCTTGAACTCCTGACCTTGCAATCTGCCCACCTCAGCCTCCCCAAGTGCTGGGATTACAAGTGTGAGCTACCGTGCCCAGCCAGAAAACTGTACTTTTATATACTGGTAAAATATAAACTGGTAATTCTTTGTAGGGCCACTGAACAGTAACAAAATTAAAAACGCACATATCTTCCTGACCCTTAATTCCAATTCTAGAAATTTTCCTATATTTTCACCCATGCACAAAGACAGAAATAAAGGGGTTCTTAGTGGTCCTGTTTGTAGTAGAAAGATTGAAAACCTATTCATCAATAAGAAACTGGTTAAATGATAAAACATTCACATAATATAATAGTATGAGCCAAAAAAAATAGTGCAGATATATATACTGATACCAGAAAACTCTCCTTAGATGTTAGGTAAAATGAAAACAAAACAGGCGCAGAGAAGCATATACAATATGTTGCCATATGTGCGAAAAAAGGAGTGTGTGCATGTGCATGTGTGTATTCAGAGACTATCCTTGGATGGATCCTCAAGAAACTTGTAATAGTGTTTATTTCTAATAAAACGGACTACAGATAGAGGTGGGAAAAGATATAATTTGCCTGCATGTCTTAGTAGAACTTGGGGATTTCTCTCTCTTTTTTTTTTACAGTATGCATTCGTTATTTTATAAAATACTGTATTATTATTTTTGGAGATGGAGTCTCACTCTGTCGCCAGGCTGGAGTGCAGTGGCGTGACCTCGGCTCACTGCAGTCTCCGCCTTCTGTATTCAAGTGATTCCCCTGCCTCTGCTTCCCAAGTAGCTGGGACTACAGGCACGCACCACCAGGTCTGGCTAATTTTTTGTATCTTAGTAAAGATGTATCTTCACCATGTTGGCCAGGATGGTCTCCATCTCCTGACCTCATGATCTGCCTGCCTTGGACTCCCAAAGTGCTGGGATTACAGGCGTGAGCCACTGTGCCCAGCCTCATTATTTTTAAAAAATAAATTTTAAAGTGTGAATAATTCCTAGAGAGCCTGCATATTGAAATAACAGCAAAATCTTTAAACAATAGTTCCTGTGTGTAGGCAGAAGTATTTTTGAGCACAGGTGCAGTGGAGATAAACTTTGGAAGGCAGATGGCTCCAGTTTTAAAATATATTCTGAGATAACATCAAATAAGCATTTTTAGAATTGGGTTTGGTTCTCAGAGTCATGGCTTTGGCAGACTGCTCAAGCTACATATTCATCAAGTGTTTTACTTTTACATTATAAAAATACAAACTAATGCTTTCAGTTTTTAATCACCAACAATATTATATGAAGAGATTGAGACAAATAAAACAGTCCTGGATGGGCGCAGGGGCTTATGCCTGATCCCAGCACTTTGCGAGTCCAACCAAGGCAGGCAGATCACGAGGCCAGGAGTTCGAGACCAGCCTGGCCAACATGGTGAAACCCCGTCTATACTAAAAATACAAAAAAATTAGTTGGGCATGGTGGCAAATGCCTGTAATCCTGGCTACACGGGGGGCTGAGACAGGAGAATTGCTTGAACCCAGGAGGCGGATGGTGCGGTGAGCAGAGATCGTGCCATTGCACTCCAGCCTGGGCGACAGAGCAAGATTCCATCTCAAAAATGAAACAAAACAAAACAAAACAAAAAAACAGTCCTTGAAGAGATTAAAATGCAGAAAATAAATATTAATAGAATTTTCTTACTACAAGCATTTTAACTTTATTAAAAGGAAGCATCTAGTGGGTGAATCTGGTGGCACTGGTGCTATTCAACAGTTCCTTTGCTAGTCTTATCTGTGTTCCTCCTCTCAAGTCTCCAAGAAAATACCATTTTCTTCCTATATGCCTAGACCTCCAACTATATTGACAACTGGGGATTTCAAATGTAAATGGATTCATGTAATAGGCAAACAACATCTGAGGCAAACTGGGGAGTGAGTGCCCTGACTGAGAGGAAATATATTAACAGATCTAAGAGATTAAAGTTTGATGCTATGGTTTGAATATCCCCTCCAAAACTCATGTCAATATTTAACTGCCATTAAAATGACCTGAACAGACACTTCTCAAAAGAAGACATACAAATGGCCAACAGGTATACGAAAAAATTCTCAGCATTACTAATCAGGGAAATGCAAATCAAAACCACAGTGATACTGCCTCACTCCACTGAGAGAGGCTACTAGCAAAAAGGTAAACAATAATAAGTGTTAGTGAGGATGTGAAGAAAGCAGAACTCTTATATACCATTGGTGAGAATGTAAACTAGTACAGCTATTAATGGGAAAACGATGGAGAGTCCTCAAAAAACCGAAAATATAAGCTGGAGAATTCACAACCTAAGTGTCCACACATCAATGAGTGAATGAAGAAAATGTAGTATCTATACATCATGGAATACTACTCAGACATAAAAAGGAATGAAATAATTGGGCGTGGTGGCTCATGCCTATAATCCAGCACTTTGGGAGTCTGAGGCGGGTGGATCACCTGAGGTCAGGAGTTCGAAAGCAGCCTGGCCAACATGGCAAAACCCCGTCTCTACCAAAAATACAAAAATTAGCTGGGTGTGGTAGCATGTGCCTGTAATCCTAGCTACTGGGGAGGCTGAGGCAGGAGAACTGCTTGAACTCGGTACGGTAGGTGGAGGTTGTAGTAAGTCTAGACCAAGCTACTGCACTCCAGCCTGGGCAACAGAGCAAGATTCAGTCTCAAAAAAAAAAAAAAAGGAATGAAATAGTGTCTGTTGCAGCAACCTGGATGGAGCTGGAGGTCATTATTCTAAGTGAAGTAACTCAGGAATGGAAAATCAACTACCATATGTTCTCACATTATAAATGGGAGCTAAACTATGAGGACACAAAGTTATACAAAGTGACATAATAGACTTTGAAGATTCAGAAGGTGGAGGTTGGGAAAGGGGTGAGGGGAAAAAAACTACACTAGGTACGTTGGGTATAAATATACTACTCATGTAGTATACTACATGGGTGATAGGTGCACTAAAATTTCAGAATTCACCACTGATAGAATTTATCCATATAACCAAAAATCACCTGTACCTCAAAAGCTATTGAAAATAATAAAATTGGCCGGGCGTGGTGGCTCACGCCTGTAATCCCAGCACTTTGGGAGGCCGAGGTGGGTGGATCACGAGGTCAAGAGATCGAGACCATCCTGGTCAACAAGGTGAAACCCCGTCTCTACTAAAAATACAAAAAAAAACTAGCTGGGCACGGTGGTGCATGCCTGTAATCTCAGCTACTCAGGAGGCTGAGGCAGGAGAATTGCTTGAACCCAGGAGGCGGAGGTTGTGGTGAGCCCAGATAGCGCCATTGCACTCCAGTCTGGGTAACAAGAACGAAACTCCGTCTCAAAAAAAAAAAGGAAAT